AATGAGGTTTGAAATCTGTAAAACCCAGGTTCCAATGGTGTCAGAGAAAATTGGAATGATTCAAATCAACTGATGCAGATGTAAGTAAGCATAGCTTGAAAAATAATTTATACTATAACAACATTATAAAAACAACTTTGAAAGACTTAAGAACTATGATCAATGCAATGATCAATGAAGATACCAAATACCTAATGGTGAAGAATGCTACCCACCTCCCAACAGAGTGTGGATGGAATACATACGCATAATGAGATAAAACTTTTTTGCACATAGCCAATATGAAAATTTGTTTTGCTTGAGTATGTGTATTTATTACATGGATTTTATTTTTCTCTTTCTTTTAAGGAGGGGAAATTGAGAGAAAATACATACCTAATTGAAAAAAGGTTATATTTTATTAAAGCTAAATTATCATTCGTTCATCCACTAATCCATTCAACAGTAATTTATTATAACCCTATTAGATTTGCATGCAGCTAATACATACAACTTTCTGAGTATGTTGCCATAGGTATTCCCTTTATTTATGTATTGGACCAGATATCCGACTCTCAAAAATCTATGTTTTTTTTTCAATATATGTAAAGATACTCAAAGTTGATATGAGGTCTTTCAAGTCTACTGTCCAAGGGCCAGTTCAGATAACTTTGAAAAAGTTCAGTCCTAAAGTTGGCCATCATTTGATGAACATTTCATCTCTAGACAGTCATAAAGATGAGTACTGAGGCTTAGACAGATTAGGATCTGGACTTTTGAAAGGGGTACACCACAGCAAAGAAATAACAACTTCTTCAGGAGTTTAGATGAATGCAAAGAACCCAGACTAGGCACAAAAAGAAATACAAAGAAAATTAAAATATTATTTTTGATCTCGTGGAACATACACCATAGCAAGAGTTATATAATAATCCATAAGTATACATATAAGGCCAAATTGAATAGAACCATAACATAGATGTAAACGTCTATGAAAGATCAGAAGAAGCAAACGTAAATTTCTGATTGGGGAATGAGGAAGGAATTAATATAGAAAGTATCTGTGCTGGCCTTTAAAGGAAGATTAAGGGTTCAACAGGTTGAGTTTGAAGGCAGTGGTCCAGGTATAAGGAAAAAATAAGAGGGTGGCAAGTGCTAGAATAAATAAAGGATATATGTCAGTTTGACTAATTTTTAATATAGCTTTTGAGGTTGCCATATTGTACCATGACTCATATTGAATTTTGACTATATTTAAACACTCAGAGTTTTAATTTTTTTAAACTTGAAGTAGTTGCTACCGCTGCTTCCCTCGTGCTATATTTGTGAAGGTGATTCTTTGGACCCAAGTATAGGAAGTTACCATTATTCCTCATTATATTTAGTTTTATAATACTAGTTTTACTGAAAACTTTTTCAATGGTAACATGATAATCCAACATATTAGCTATTCTCCTTATCTTCGCATCACCTGCAAGAAAAAAATACACACACACACACACACACACACACACACACACACATACATACATATCTTCCATGCCTTTATTGAAGTCATTGATTTAAAAAAAACAAACAAACGATGGCAGAGGGTTAAGTGCTCTGGGGCACACAACTAGATTTTTCCTAACTGGCATTGAGCCACTTATGACTATTTTATTTTTGAATCCAGTAATTCAATAATTTTAAAATTCATCTGAATATGCTCTCATCTAGCCAGTATATCTTTATTTTATTGAGCAGATTCTTCAAATGCTATGCTAAGATTTTGACCTACAACTATATGTTTAAAGCTGGAATTCTTAACCTAGAGTCTATGAGTTTGCCCAAAAAATATTTTGATGGTAATTTCAATTGGTGTCTTTTGTGAGACTATGTATTTTATTTTTACAGACCTTTTTTACAAACCTTATTCTGATAAAAGGTCTATGCATTTTACTGGACCACCAGTGGGGTCCCTACCATAGATGAAGTTAAGACCACTTGGTCTAAAACATTTAAAGTATTTAACTCATCTATCAGTTTAGCTATTTTGCATAAAAAGGAAATGAGGTCAGTCAAACTCCACCACTTTTGATGAGGCCACGTGGTCCTTTGTGATTATTGCTATTCTTTCTAGAGACTTACAAATATTTGAGTTATTATTAAAGTTCTAAAATTTTGCAAAGAAAGAAATAAATTAATTTAGCCTATAGTTCTGCAATAGTCTCCCATTCTCCATAATCTTTCAAAAATTCTTTAGAGCAGCCGATTTTTTTTTTGCATTGTAGATGGTGATTCAAATATATTAGAGTAGCTAGGTTCTTTCTTACCATCTCTTCACTCATCTTGGGTTTCAATTCCCTGTTACATGTGAACAGATTTACATTTCCAAAATAATTACAGATGTACCACATTTTATTCAATACGTGTGTTGCTGAAATTATATATATAGTATAATTTGATATTTTCTGATTAACTTATGCTATGATGTGGAGGATGATTTTAATTTTATTTTGAATTTAGAAGTTTTTAAAAAAATTTACTTACAAATTTTAATTTTATTAATATCTGTATTTTTACCTTGCCTTCCTTTGTAAATATTTAACTATTTAGAGGCCCTTCACTTGTAACAAAAATTATACAGAGGAAAAATATAGCAGCAAAACTATATAAAATGACAGGCAATGGGGTATAGAAATCTATCCTGCCCTATAGGAAAATAGAAGGGGAAGGGGATTAGAGAAGAGGGGGTGATAGAAGGGAGGGCAGATCAGGGGAAGGGGTATTTAGAATGCATGCCATCTTGGGGTGGGGGGAGGGGAGAGATGGGGATAAAATCTGGAACTCAAAGTCTTGTGGAAGTGAATGTTGAAAACTAAAAATAAATTAATTAATTAAGAAAAAAACTATATAAAATGTTCCATAACCAAAGTTACCCACTTCTGGAAAAAAAAAAAAAAGGAGGGCTGTTCTTTTTCTCATATCTTCTCTGGGAACAAGTTTGGTTATGATAATTAAAGTTTCAGCTTTTTTGTTTGTTTTGTTTTGTTTTTGTGGTGGTGGTATTGTTCTTTTGTCATTCAGTATCAGGCAGCTAGGTGGCACATAAAATGCTGGGCCTGGAGAAGACTCATTTTCCTGAGTTGAAATCTGGCCTCAGACCCTTACTAGCTGTATGACCCTGGACAAGTCACCGAACCTTGTTTGCCTGAGTTTCCACATCTTTAAAATGAGCTATAGAAGGAAATGGCAAAGCTCCCCAGTATCTTTGCCAAGAAAACCTCAACTGAGGTCATGAAGTGTGAGGTACTGCTGAAAGGACTGAGCAGAGTCATTCTGTACAGCCTTCTCCTGGTTCTGTTAACTTCACTTTGAATCAGTTCATATGTCTCTCCAGGCTTTTCCAAATTCTCTATGTTCTTTTTTTCTTGTGGAACAATAATATTCCCTTACAGTCATATACCACAATTAGTTTAGTGATTCCCCAGTCACTGAATTCTACTTTTAGATAATTTTTAAATTTTTATTCATTTTTAATTGGTAGTAATACCTAACACGCTAATTTTAAGCAGTTATAACTACTAATTAATACACCTGGGCAAGGAGTAGTAGGTAGATGTATAGATTCCTCAGGGACTCTGTCAGAAAACTAATTGGGGGGGGGAGATAGAATATGGAAGTAATAGGGTGGGTCCCCAGTGAGGAAGACTTTACTTCTTACATTTTCATGAGTTGAAGGAAGCAGACAATCTAGTAGCTTCCTAAATTAATTATTCTTATCAACAGAATATTAAGCTCAGGTGTTTCCATGATGCTGAAGAGAAGTCAGTGCTGTTAGCACCTTCTAAATTTCATTAAGAAGCTCAGATGTCCTCATTCTGGCTATGCATTTGATTTTAATTTTCTAAGTTTCTATGGCATACCAGAATTTCTATCAAATAGATACTTTCTGTAAATACATACATATTTGGAAGATAATTTTGGTAAAGCAAAGAATAAACCATAGTTGATTTTTAAGTAATATTTATTAGTATTAAGGTTTTTTTTAAAAGAATGGTATACTTTTTCATGATTTTCCTTTTCAAACATTATTGCTCAGTAGTTATTTGCCAAAGTTAAGTTTTTTTCTTCTCCAAGGGAGAGTACTTATAAAAGGGTAAATATAAGATAACAGAAATTGTTTTTGCTTTTTCTCCTCATATATTAGAAATAATTTATGATGCTAAATGCAACAGCAATGAGCATTTTGATATTCACTTTCAAAAATACCTCCTACCTATAATTGCAGAATACATCATTCAAAAGAGGTTGTTTTATTAATGTATTATGTTATATCTATTATGAAAACTTAAAAGATTTGAATTAAAATATCAATATGTTCAAGGAAAGAACCACAGAATATTATTCTTAATTGATTAAAAAGGATAGCAGCATCTGGAATTCTGTTTTTAAAGTATAACATACCATCCTTTCTACTATCTTTAATACAACAACAAAGTCTTTTGTTTCAATAAATAAAGAAAACATTCTACACTGTAGCTTTCTATGTTACTGAGTCACTACTTATGTTGATAGTGGATTATCATATTAACAATGCTAATTTTAAGCATGTAATAAGTAAAATATCTCTCTGTGCAACTGATTGCAAAAAATAAAGACCTAACAAAAAGTGAAATGTGACTTTTGGGTGGGGGGTAGGAAGAACCCAACTTGCTTAAAAAAACTTGATTAAAGAAATCAAATCCTTCCATTAGCTATACTGAACCCCTAAAGCAATGGAGGAATTTGTTTCTTACAGACAATTAATCACATGCAGGCATGCCAGATGAGAACTATTGATTGCCCTTTTCTAGACTAGTGGCATTCAGACAGTAGACAGACAAATGCCCTAAGCAAGGGGGAGCATCTTTCTGCTTCTGCCTAGCATAGATTTTAATTGTTCTTTACAAATGTGTATGGCATTTTGCTGCTAATCTTCAGTCGAGCACTCACTGCTTTCCATTTCAGCTACACAACAACAGGTTATATTTTTTTATTACCTTTACTCCAAGGTCCTTCATGAGCTCAATCTCAAAATTCACAACATCATATGGCAGCCGAAACTGAGGGATTTCACTTGTACTAGGATAAAGAAAAAAGTTTGTGAAACAATTACCAATCATAAAGAAATGACACAATGTCTTTATCGATCAACATTAAAGACCTAAGGACCTATTCGAGAGCATTTACTGTTTTACAGGGGCATTTTCCACATCATTTTATGAGTGTCAAAGACACTTCAAATTAGTATTCACACAGCAAAGCTTTTCATTGTCCTATAGCAGTTATAAGGAAGAAAGTGAAATGTGAACAAAATGATGGAAGCAGCTGGAAACATATGTTAGGGAGAGCTAACTGTTGAGAATCATTTAAACTTTTTAGCTAATCAACCATGCTATATATTTTATTTGTCTAATTTGTATATGCATGTATATCATACATATGTGCACACATATAGATATATGACATATATATGCTTAGAGACAAATGTGTGTATGTGTGTGCATGTGTGTGTGTGAGTGTGTGTGTGTAAAGAGAGAGAGAAAGGAAGGGAAGGAGGGAGGGAGGGAGTTATATATCCCCTCCAAAGAAAAACCTGTAAGAATGAAATATACAATTAAAGAATTATCATCTTCTATAAATATTTCTATCTTCTCTGTTTAAATCCTAACCTCTAATTTTTTTTATTATTCTGCTTAGAGAATTGCAAGTTATACTGCATGTGGTCTATAGAATAATTCTTAAAGGGAAGTAATCTTCCATTATGAAAGCTGCAATATGTCTCCAAAGGTTAACACAATGATAAGGTAATCCTATTTGACATCAATATTTCCTGCCTACACCAAAATCACAAGACCTTTGGACATGGCACTAATATTTTAATAGCACAATGTTTTCTTTCCATAAGGTTAAGGAAAAGTAACTTTGAAATGTCTTCAGAAATTTCATTTACTGTTGCAAAAAAAAAATAAGAACTTTCATCATGAACTTCTAGTAAATGAATGTCCTATGACAATTAATAAAATTTCCTTTCATACAAATGGCAACAACATCATTAACTAGCTATATAATCTTGGCTAAGTCACTTAACCTTTTCCTCAGTTTCTTCGCATCTATAATGACAGAATTGTGTACAAAGTAAACCCAGAAAAATTCAGAACATTTTTCTGTAAGGATAACATACTCTAGCAAGAATTAATAAAAAGTATAATTCAAAATAATGAGAAATTGCAATTACATAAAATATATGAGAGCCAATCTACTAAGGTCCACTCAAGATACACACACACACATACACACACATTATTAATATAATTAATATAATTAATTTTAGTGGAATCTCTATCATTCTCTATGCAATTAGATGATCTATAAAATGATACATTTCTAACCTTTTTTGCTTATATCTACTCTCAATTTCTTTATTTGTCTTAATTCCACAACAAGCATTAATAGAATGATATTAAAGAATAGTAGTGATAATGAAAATCCTTATTTTATACCAGATTTTATTGGAAAGGCCACTTGTGCCTTTTCATTATATATAATGCTTGTTCTTCATTTTTTGAGAAATATTATTTAAAATATTAACAATGGCCCATTTACACTGATGCTTTTTGGTATTTAAACACATTTTATAAAAATGTGTTGATATTACTATTAATGTAATAATGTGACTTTTACTTTTGTTATTAATATGACCTGTTATCTTTATTTTTCCTAATATTGAACTAACTGCATTTCTAGTATAATTTAATCTTGTCAAAGTGTTTAATCTTTGCAATATGTGTCTATAGTTCCTTTGCTAATAGTTTATTCAATATTTTTGCATCAATATTCATTAGACATATTGAGATATAGTTTTATTTCTCTGATTTAGCTATTTCTGGTTTAGTTATGAGACTATATTTGTTTCAATAAAGGAGCTTTGTATGAGAAATTATTATTTTTTTGCAAATAATTAACATAATAGTGGAATACTTTTGCCTTCAATGTTTTATGAACTTCACTTGGAAATCCACTGATTCTATTTTTAAAAAAAAGAGATCCTTTATGACCTGTCCAATACTACATTCTGAGATTATCTTTAATTATCTATTTCTCTTATGGTTAATTTGTGCATTTCATATTTGTATAAATATTATTCCATGTAATTTAGGTTTTCAATTTTGTTGGTATAGTTTCTTATAGTTTTCTATTTCATTTGCTCTGATTTTATCTTTTACATTTTGATAATAGTAATTTATTTTTCCCCTCTTTCAAAAAATCAGATTGGCTAATGGTTCATCTCTTTTTTAAAAATCATATCTTTATTTTATTGATTGAGTGATGTTGTGACAATTACATTAATATTTAATTTGAAGACTTTATATTTTTTATATTTAGTTTTTTATTTGCTAGTTTTCCAGTTTTTTTTTTTCTAGTTGAATACCAATTCATCAATCTGTTCTTTCTCTTTTTGTTGATGAAAGTTTTTACTGGTAAAATTTTCTCTTATATAATATTTTGGCATAATCTCCAAAGTTTTGTTATACAGGATCATTGTTGCACCTTTATTTTATGAAACTATCTATTATTTCTATGATGCACTGATTACTGAGGATTACTTAGTTCATGCTTAAATTTGAACCATTTCTTCAAATATCTTTATTGTTTATATTTTTATTATATTGTTGTAAATAAAGAATATTCTTAATATTGATATTTTCTGCTTTTGTTTATGATGTAGTTAACACTGTTGAACATGGTCAAGTTTTTTAAATGTGTCATGCATGGATGTGTACTTCTTTCTCTTCCTATCCAATAATCACAGAACTATATTAGGTTTAACTTTTCTAAAGTTTTATTCAGGTTCTTAACTTTCTTCTTGATTATATTTTTGTCAGATGTGTCTAGATTTGAAAGGGGGTATACATAAAGATTACCATGTATTTTTGATATCTATTTTTCATTTAATTCATTAACATATGCTTTAAGTATTTAGATGCTATGCCACTCAGGGTGTATTACACATACATATATGTGTGTATGTATATATAATATATATACATATATGTATATGTGCACAATATATTGTTAACATGGGCTCTATAATAACCATACTATATGCTACACCTTCTCTTCTTCACAGGAGAGAAGGGTGATGGAATTACACACAACAACCAGCCAATTAAAAGGATTTCTGAAGCTCAGAGCTGCTTGACATATCAGTGATGCTTTGTTAGTGAACTCTAGCCAAATTTGGAGATGCTTGTAGCCGCCAGAAACCAAACACCTCACAGGGAACCCTGAGCAGCAGCTGAAGACTCAAGACCTTGCTCGGGACTTTCTAAACATCTTGGCTTTTTGTGTCTACAGATATCTTCTTCCTTAACCTTGCTTCTTGCCAGAAAGCCTTTAGAAACTATATTATCTCGCCATTTTTTACCACTCCCCTTTGAGCAGCTGAGAACGCTCTCTCCCTCTCTGCTGTCTTGCAGGATCCTCTTCCTTGCAAGCCTTTTCTCAGACAATAAAGCTTTATAATCTGTGATCAGACTCTGTTTCATTTCAGGTTCCTTCATGGGCCTGAGGGTCTTTTGTTAACAATATACATGTACGTATGGATGTATACATATATATGTATATGAACAAAGAAACAACAAAATAACACAAATCTATATATGATATTTATACACAAATAATATGTGGTATTTGTGTGTATAGTGTATACCACACATTTTATGCTACCTATATACTATAGATTAATATACTAAACATAAATTATATATTTTTGTTGTGTAATTTTTCAGTCATGTCTGACTCTTTGTGACCCCATTTTGGGGTTTTCTTGTCAAAGATACCAGCATGAGGGGCAGCTAGGTGGCACAGTGGATAGAGCACCAGCCCTGAAGTCAGGAGAACCCTCAGAGACCAAATCCGGCCTCAGACCAAACACTTGACGCTTACTAGCTGTGTGACCCTGGGCAAGTCACTTAACTTCAATTGCCTTAAAAAAAAAAAAAAGACATACCAGCATGGTTTGACATTTCCTTCTCCAGCTCATTTTACAGATAAGGAACTGAGGCAAACAAGGTTAAGTGACTTGCCTGGTCACATAGCTAATAAATGTCTGAGGTCACATTTGAACTCAGTTCCTCCTGACTCCAGGGCCTGCTCTATCCACTGCATCACCTAGCTGCCCCAAATTAAATATAGCATACCTGTACAGAAATACAAATAAGTATATTTATATAATACTATTTATAGTATTTATATTATTTCATTGTCTATGGTGCTTCTAAACATGGTGCAATTTTCCTATTTATTTCTTTTGGTTTTGTCTATTTTTACGGTTTCCTTTTCTGAGATCATGTGTGTTACCCTTGATTGTCTCAGTATACCAGAAGTTTTACAAACTCTCTACCAGCCTCACATTTAGTTACTTGTGAATCTTTATGTTTTAAGTTTCTTTCTTATAAACAACATCTTGTTAGATTCTACTTTCCAAAACATTTGTCTATTCTCCTCCATTGCATGAAGAGGTTCACCACATTTATGGCAACAAATGTGAAATAAATGTTTCCCTCCACCATGTCCCATTATATTTCTTTCTCCCTTTCTCTACCTCTTGACACAGAATATCATAAAAAAGGAATAAATTCAAGTGTGAATTGCCATCAAGACAATTAGTTTTTCTAGAGACAATCATCTTCCAACTCTACCCCCTTTAAAACTGCCTTTCCTTCCCTAAAACTTTCCTTGCCCCATTTTTTCTAATTGAGTTTAATATACTACTCCCCCAAAATGTGCATATTTGTATAAGAACCCTTCTTCAGAAAATTCAGATTAGATTGAGTTTCACATGATTACTTCTCAATCTTTCCTGTTTCTATTTTTATAGACTCTTCTTATGCATCTTAAGTATGACAAATAGTAAATTCTATCCCCTTCTTCCTCATTTCTTCCCTAAAATATTCAATTTTCCTTCTCTCTTCTTTCTTCTCATAAGACCACCAAAATGAAAGTAAATGACCCCAAATTCACCTGTCTTTTGAAATTCCTTCAGTGACCATTGATGTTATTAGGATTCAGAAAGCATATTTGTCTCTTTTTTGTCTTTGGAATTAAGTATTTTATGAAAAAATAATGGAAACAAAAGATAATTTCATAAAAGAAAATAACAACAATGAAATCTTATACCAAAGTTTTTGGAATTCTATCAAAACAGTCCAGAGAAGAAAATTCATATTGCCAAAATCTCATTTTTACTAGTCACTGCCAGGTCTTGTTTGGTTCCATGGCTCCCTTGAAATCTCTCCTTTTGACAGTCTTAAGTATATATCTTTTTCACACGGAAACTCTTCATTTTGTCTACAGAATTTATGAGGTTTTTTTTTATTTTGGGGAGAGTTCCATTGGTGAGGTAAACATAGGATTCTATTTTCTTTTTCCTTCTGGTTCCAACAGACTTGAGGAGTTGCATTTGGAAGGCAATTTCCTGACTTGAAATGTGCACCTAGAAGCATTCGCTCATTCTTCTCATTGTTTTTGTGTTCTCATTTATAAAGTATTTCTCCTTGTACTAACCAGATTCCTTTTAAAGAATCTTCAAGAATCCAGTGGAATTTGCTTTCTAATTAGGATCACTTGACTGGGTTAATGATAATGTTAAGAAACATCAGATAGTTATGTATATACTTGAAGGCTTATTATACCATTCACTAGTATAAGGGACATTTGATCTTAATTGCTTGGAAAAGGCTTCAAGAGATTTTGATTCTTTAGGCTAATGAAAATTAGTCTTTCCCCATCATTCTGTGCTCTTTTCGTAAACTGAAATTTTGTTGAAAAGGATTTCCCACTGTTCCAACAGTAACTCTTTCTGTATAGAGGAAGGGTGATTAATTTTACAAGTACTAAGGTACTAATATATGATTTATACCAACCCATATATCCATATAATTCTTTTTATTATTAAGAATATCTTATATTTGTATAACCATGTTTCTCATAGCATTATCTCTAGATTGTGAGTAAAATACTAAAATTCCCCTTTACAGTTAAGGAAATTGAGATAGAATATTTAAGTGACTTGCTAAGGCTCAAACAGCCAAAAAATATCAGTCAGGAATCAAATTCAACCCTCTGGTGCTCTCTACATTACACAATGTTGCCTTTTAAGTCAGAAATACCTGTGTGCACTAGCCATTTTATTTTCCAAACATAGTGCTGATACTTTGCAATAGTTTTGCTTATGTTAATTTTGAGGGGAAAACTTTTAGTGCTGATAACTATAAATTCATAGCATATAATTATATAATATAATACATAGCATATATAGTATAGCATATAATTGTAACTATCACTACTACAACTATCACTCTATTTCCTTCATATAAAATCAAAGTAGAAAAAAATGAATTAGCCATAGTGAACATGCTATGATATATGAATTCTAACAACAGGAAAAATATCAGGGCAATTGATGACACTGATATATTATTTATTTTAAAAGCTGCTTGCTATTTCTCATTTATTTTTGCCATTTAAAACAAACGGATGTCTGTATAGAAAAGGACTCACCTGATATTTTCTTCATTAGTGTTAACTATCTTTGATAATACCCTCAAGTCCATTTAACCCTTTTAAACTCATCTTGGGAAAGAAGAAATAGGAGGAAAGAAAGACCATTGATTACGTTAAAAATTGGGTGTAGCACTGACATTGTTTTCAGCAACTTTGGCACTGCAATACTTATTCACTTGAGAAGGAAGAATCTATTCAGATTCAGAGGAAAGGGAAGGATAAAACCTGACATCACATCTTTGAGGCAATTGATTTCAAATACGAAGCTAATTTAATCTTTTTAGGCACTTTGGTTTGAAGAGACCAGAGAATAAGAATCAACTGTGTAAGTGAGAACATAAATTAACAAGGAAATTGTGGCAGCAATGATGGCTAAATTCCATCTTTAAAAAAAAAAAACTGTATTAAACATCAGCTTCGTTTTATTCCTTTGTTGTGGGGCTAACTTAAAATGAGTCATACAAACATAATTGTGAACCATTGGATTTTTCCACAGAAATAAGTAGAAGTAAAAAATGTGGAAAAAATATATTTGGTCTCTAACCTGGGAGAAACAGTATCATTAGAGTACAAATGACATCAATATAACTTTATGTAAAGACATAGGCTTAGTGAAAATAAGTGACAGAAAATAAAACTAATGTCTATGAACTCATTTAAAATAAGAAAAAACTATTCAGAGGAATATTCTATGTAAATATTCCCTTCATAAATGTTTTTGAATACAGCCCATTTTGAAGCTAGACTTATTTTTCCCCTTAAAAAGAGAATTATGAATGCAACATAGGGGCAAGGATCTTCTTTGTAATTGGTCAGTAAATAAGCAAGGATAAAGTTTATGTTGTTTAAATTAAGAATTTACATATTCACTCATGTGTATAATTGAAAAAAGTATACAAATGCTTCATTTACAGCATGTGTTTCTAAGAGATTATGGATTTTTTTCTTTTAAATTAATAAATCTGTGGCGAACTTTTACTTACAAAGAAAATGCTTCATTCCTTTTCAGCAAAATCATGAGATGGCCTTGCTATTTCCCTAAATGAACAAATATGACTCTATAGAATATGTGATGTCCTATCAACAGGGATTGATGTCTGGAAAAATACAGAGTATAGGAAAATGCCAATAGTACAATAAAATAATGATCACTTGACAAGTAGTCATGTCCTCAAAGAAATCCACTCAATAGTTGATGATTTATATCTCAATAAACTACTGTTTTTGTATTCATGATCATTGATGTTAGCTTTTTAGCATATTAATATTTAGCTGTTCTCTAAAAGTTAAATATATATTAACATGCATTGGGAGTTTCCAGTAGACTTGGACAACATAAGCAAAAATGACAGTCAGAGTATGATAAAATTTATTCTGTGTGATCATTAAATACGTGAAATTCACAGCTCAGAAATAAGGTATGGTAAGAACCACAATTTTAAAATATTATAGTACTGATCACTGCCCAGAACACATTGCAGAAGATGGCACTACTAGCAATATTTTAATTAATGCATTGCCAGTTTCAAAGTAGTACAAATGTAAGGAAAATAACTATCGGGAAGTTGCTTGGTAATTATTGAGAAGAATGATGATCATCTAATAGTTTCCTCTGAGTTATTATATCTTCTGTTTATGTGCTATGCTGTTTTACATATTTACATTTTAAAAATCATTTTGCTTGGCTTATCATATTGAAAGTTTGAAAAGCTAAAATACAAAATAAACATTCTATTATGATATGTCAGCTAATGCTACAGATTATGGTGGGACTATGATGGGATAGGAAAAAAAACAACTAAAACACCTGAAATAATTGTTTTACACTGATGATGTGGATTGATGAAGTGTTAGTGGGTAGATACTGTATAAGCATAAACTGGAACAGATTATTTCTAGGTACGCAGTTTGCATTTGTATAATGCTTTAAGATTTCACAGTTCTATCTTCTCAACAACTCAGGTAGGCAGAATATTATTACTGTTTTACAGATAGGGACATTGAGTTGCTGAGAATTTAAATGTCTTAGGAGAATAAGTTTAGAGCTGAAAGAGAACTTAGATGTCATGTAGTCCAAAGTATTCACCTTACAAATGAGAAAATTGAGACAGGATTTTTAACTGACTTGCCCAAGGCTACATAGTGAATCCATGAGAACACAATGTCAATCAGAACTAAACTCTGGATTACAAGTCCCTTTTTGGTTTTGGTTTTGGTTTTTTTATCCTGTTATCACATATCCTAATTAAATCTGCCTTTTTTTCCCTCCTACCACAATTGATTTAAGAAATTTAAGAAACTGAAGGGGCAGCATGAAGAATGTTTTTGACCCACTGAAATATGCCCTTCAAAAAACATTATTAAGCACCAGTATGCATCAACTACAAAGACAGGCAATGTGTCAAAGTGAATGGAAAGCTAGCTTTGAAGTCAAGAAGATCTAGTCTCAAATTCCACTTCTTATACATACCAGTTGTGTGAGTCTGTGCACAATAAAGAACCTCTCAGTGTCCCAGGCAAGACTCAAAGGTTACAAACTGCAGAAAAATTTGTCCCTCACTAGAGAGCTCCCTACACTAAATCTCAGGTCCTGACCCAAAAAATCTCAGGTTCTGACCCATAAAAAGTGCAAGATATTGTTTCAGATATTGGAAACACAAAAATAAGCAGCTCCCTCCTGCCCTTAGTTGCTTATATTTTCCTATGGGAAAAACAACACATACATAAATAAATAAATACAAAGTAAAATTTTAATGATTTCTAAAGTTAGAGTTTCCAATTTCCAATGTGTATGTTCCTTAACAATCACCACTACTGCTTTAAAAAAAGAGATGCAAGACAAATTTTTCCTTGGATACTTGTGTCTTCATCCAATCAAAAAAATTTTTGTCAGGAGTAAACCTTTCATTTAGGGAACAAGACATAGGAAATTTTAAATAACATAGCTTGCGGCCAAGTACAAAATTTAAAGTGAAAACTAATTTATACAAAGTTTGAGAGCTTGCAATATGCAAATTTTAAAATACCATCTGCAAGTCAGTAGTTTCTATAGGAACATGAACCAACTCTATTCACATTGTTTGACTCCATCATTTTTTACACTATAAACATAAAATGCATGTAGTCATTACCTTAAACCACCCACATATTCTTGTTTTTCAAATATAGTGATGTCAGAGTAGCCTAATCGAGCCAAGAAAGAGGCACAGCTCATACTTGCAGGCCCAGCACCAAGAAGAGCAATCTTTGCAGAATAAGCTTCAGGCATATCTTCTGGAAGAGGCAGAGAAGGGTTCCTGATTTGTGGAATATTCATTGCTTTGAATACCTGGAAGAAATCAATTCAGCTAGTTAGAAGTTCACAGCTAAATTCAGTAACCTCAAAGCATTTTTTTTTAATTACTGAAAAACATCCTTTTATGTAATGACATTTTCAAATGGATATGAGTAATAGCATATTAGTGTTAATATGGAGAGTACAAGCAACAGGCATTAGATAAAGTGAGGGACTCTGGTGGCCAAAATCTGTCAACTCTCTTTAGCAAAGACATGTTTTAGGCAGATTTGTTACCAACAGGAATAATCTGATGAGAATATTACATCCTTGGGAAGCAAAATTCTCTTAATCCAATCATATTTCCCCTTTAGCTGACATATAGTTTGACCAGGTGCCTATATCCAAAAACCCACAATTACATAAAATGCAGTTATTTTAATATGAAATTGATTCACAAAATGCGGTAATTGGGATACCTTTGCAAATACTCTGACAGAAAATGGATTCCTATCAAACTCCAAACATAGGAGCCATACAATCTCAGAGTTGGAGTGAAAGTCAGATGTGATCTTGTCCAACCTGAACATAGCTGCCTTCCCCACAATATAAACATAGATAGCATTCATATAGTGCTTTAATGTTTACAAAGCACTTTATATATATTATCCAATTTGTTCCTCACCAGAACCCTGTGAGGGAGGTAATATAATTGTCTCTTTTTACAGAAGAGAAATCAGAGAGACAGACAGAGAGACAGACAGATAGACACACACACATGCACACACACACACACACACAGAAAGAGAGACAGACAGAGAGAAATAGAGACAGAAAGAGATTAAATGACTTATCTACGGTCACTTAGCTTATATCTGAGGTGAGATTCAAGTGTGGGTCTTCCCTACTCCCAATCCATTGCTCTATGTACAAACACTATTTAGTTTAAAGTGATTTTGAAGTCTCTCTCTGAAGACTCTATTGATTAGGAATGCACTGTTTCATGTGGTAGTTAATTTTACATCTGGGCTGTTCAAATTATTAGAAAGATTGTTTTTTTTTTTAATTTTCCCTTTTCAAGAAGCCAACACCTACTTCTTTGCAACTTCCACTCATTATTCCTCTAGACATAAAAATAGAAAGAAAATAAGTCTGATTCCTCTTCCCAAGACAACTCTAGTGCCCTCTTTCATCTTCTTTATCCAGAGTAAACATTGTCTTTTCTTTGAATTTTGATGATAAAGTTTTGAGTGGTTTTCTTAGTGGTCACCCTTTGGAACAGACAAAGCTTATTGATTTTCCTTCCTGAAAAGTGGTGGAGAGAATTAAATATGTTCCAGATTTGCTCAAAATATAACCCTTACCTCACTAGTTTTGGACACTACTCTACTCTTAATGCTGCCAAAGATTTTATTAGCTTTTACAGCCACCACAGCTAAATCCTTGATTGATACTAAATTTGAAATTCTCTAAAATGCTCATTCTTTTTCACACAGTGTTGCCTAAATATACTACCCATTATTCTAATTATAAAGCTGAATTTTAATTTTTGCAAGATTATATATGTATTCCTATTACACTAAATCTTTTTTTTTTACATTTAGTCCATTATTGGGGCCACTCAATACCTTTTGGAATCCTGGTTCTTCCACTCAGTGTTTTAGCTATCCATCCCAGGGTTTTGTCATTGCAATTTAAGAAGTGTGCCTTCTATGCCTAAAAATGTGCGGATATAGAACTAAGCTGAAATCTCTGGAGTATTTACTACATGATAGACCTCACCTTCCGGGTAGAGATCTATACTTCAATTAATCCAATTCAGTTATAGTCATTCAACTGGTTTTGAATCTACATAACCTGTATCATTCATCCCACACTTCTCCATCTTTTTCAGAAAAAAAAATCACTTTAGAGATTTTGCCAAATGCCAATTCCTTTAAAGATGAAAGTTATGTTTCAAATTTTTAAACAAAAAATCTGAGGTACTGTTGATCCATTCCTTCCTACTCAGATTTAAAAAAACCATCATATTTCTATAACATCATATTCTCTTTGAAGAACATAAGTAAAAGATACCATCAAGTAAATGTATAATTGTAACAGAAAATGGGCTGAGTATGTAGTAGGGGTAAGAGATGAAATGTGGACAGAGTCAGTGTGCTCCACTGGCACCCTCACAACATCAAGAAAAAGCAAGGATAGATTTGAGGAAAATGAGTAGGCATCCAGTGGTGAATTTATGTTAGAATTGTTACAAGAGTTAGCTAAATTAATGAATTTCAATCTGAATCACTGAAGGGAATAGTCAAATAAATGAAATCCCATATCTATTTGAGTGCTTGAATTACAGTTATAGTATACATCATGTTATTGATTTTTATGAGCTCCACAATGGCCCTATGAGCTAAGTACAAGAAAGTGTTTTCTCTATTTTACAGATGAGTAAAATGAACCTCCAAAAAGTAAAATGATTTGTGCAAGGTAATTTTCTTCCAAGAAGTGAATTAGATTTCCCTGCCATACCCACTTTTATATTCTTTGCTTCCAATTGAAATTTTATCCATTGGTTGGGCATAGAAGTCAACCAGGACAGGAGGTAGAGTGCTGGTTACTGTGACAGAGACCCTTGGAAGAGGAATGTGATATGCAGGGAGGTAGGACAGGAGGCATAGTACAAATTGATAACAGGAGCTGTTTTGCCCTTCCTTGAGGAACACTCGGTCAAGCCCAGCACTCCTGTATGAATACAAGCAAGATCAACTAGCAATTCCACAAGAAGAATTGACATGATAAGAAGAATTGATTGACATGATAGCTATCGTGAAAATATGATGGGATGAGAATTATGACCACGCTAAACTCCAGAAGGACAAATCTTATTCAAAAGAAATAAGACAGATGAACTAGATTGGGAGAATAGAGAGAGTACTGTACATTGAGAAGATAAATGCATTTGAGTATAGTGCTTCTGAACTTAGCACTCATTGGTGTGGACGTTGGGTCCACAGTGAGATGAGTATTTCCCAGTGCCAGTTGACATATCTCATGGGCTCCCACAGGTTAGTTTATTTTTAATTGTCAGTCAATAGACATAATTAGCTCAAAGAAAAGACATTTAGTCAGTCAATAACATTTATTATTAACTTACTATGTGCCAGATGCAGTCAGGTGCTATAAAACACCACCCCCCATAATTCTGGGATTCACTCTCCCACAAACACTCATAGAATCACTATGGAGAGTGGACGGGAACTCAGAGCACACTAAGAGTAAGCTACCTATGTGGTAGGTCAATACAACTTATGTTTCTGATATTCCAGGGACTTGATACACTTTCTTTTCTTGTGGCATTCTGAAAGTTATCCCTACTGGGTAAAGCATCTCTTCCAGCAAGTTTGCTCAACTGTGATCCCTGTCTATTTCACTCAACAGCTTGACTTTAAACTAATAAAGCTAATTTTCTTCTTGAATCTACTATTCTATTCTTCTACTACTTCTATTCTTCTTGATTCTCTTCTCTGTTGCCATAGATCATCTACCTTGAAAGCAGTTTTTTTTTCTTCTTACTTTGTGTGTATTTATGTGATTCAGTAGCTCTGCCACAAGATGCCATTGTAGAAGGAGGTAGGGAAAAAGTGAAATCTCTTTTCTTTTCCCTCAAATACATTGTTGTAGAGCTGAAGGAGCTGTATTCCAAAATGCTGGACCCTGTCACAAACAATCTCTTAGGAAAGAAAGCTTGGCTTTGTAAAAGCCATAAGACACATGGTCATTCTTCAGCTAGTTAGTGGGTAACTGTCCTTCTAATTTTATCAGGAAGACTCCTTCGCATTTTTTTTAAGGTATAACAAAACAGAATTTTCCCCCACTTTATTTGACATATTAATATCTTATCATTTCTGCTATATGTCTTTTTTTTCCTGCAATTAATTCAACTGAATTCAGGGGAAGGGATCAAATCCCCTTTCCATAAACAGATTCTATAAGGAAAAGTGAGAAATACATGGAGAGTAACTGGTAAAGATAAGCTAAAAAAAGAAAAAAAAACAGAAAGGATTATGTCACTGGAGTATGCAACCAAGGAATTCAGGGAAGAACTCACAAACTTGACACAGAAGTATATATAGCATTGGTGGGGCATTTCAGGTACCCCAGAATCTGCTGAGCTCTTTGTTCAAAAAATGAAACAGTTTGCAATTCCTTGAATTATTTTCAATCAATCACTTAACCAACCACCATTTATTTAGTTCCTATTACATGTTAGTTACTATGCTAAATACTGAGAGATACAAAGACAAAAGTCAAACAGTGGCTATCCTCATGGAGCTTATACTCTATGGAAGGAGCCAACATGTACATATGGTAAAAAATGATATAAAAATAAAGACTTCAATTTATCTGAAAAATATCAGAGAGTTTTAGCAGACTACAAATTCAATATGAGTATTATTATCTGATTTTACAGATGAGGAAACTGAGGCAAGTAGAAGTTAAATTGACTTATCCAAGGTCACGCAGCTAGTATGTGTCTAAGGCTAGACTTGAACTGAGGTCTTTCAGATTCCAAGCCTGGCACTCTGTCCCTGTGCCAATACAGACAATGAGCTCAGTCCAGAAATGAATAAAAAAAAAGAGTAGGCTAAAATCACTCTCTAGGAATTGTGTAATGCTTGATAACTATTACCTTCTCATAGAAGAGAAGAATATCATTTAACATAAGGGTTTGCTGTATTCCAGTAATTCTTTCAGCAACTTTAATTCCAATTTCCCATTTCTCAATGGGAACAAGTTTCTCTGTACCGACTATGCCCTCTCTCTCATTTTTATTGTTCCATTCCCTTCTCAGATGAGTGGGGTACAGTGGGAGGGGAAGAAGAAAGATTAGTGAACAAAACCGGTTAAGGTTAATAAGAAAAAAATAGATGTTTTCATTTTTGCTTTTACTATCTCAAAATCTTATTTTTTAAAATAATATTTCAATAATTCAAATTTTAAATAATTCATTTATTTTGGTAAATAATACTGAATATAGCCTCAGTATGGCTATATAAAAG